CTAACGGAGCAGACGACTGTGAATGGACGGAGGCTAAAGTTCATATGAGAACATCGTTTTATTGTGCAGCGCTTTATGTTAAAGTCGTTAAGGTGACTCAATTAGTGCACACGAGTAACGGTTAAAGATTAACTGAAGGAAACAACTGTTAATTAGCACAAGTTAAAGTGTCCTAAATTCATAGTAAAAGAAATGATAGTTAAGAATGCTTATAAATTCCTGCCCGTACATTTACAGGCATTACTTTTTTTTGTAAACATGACTTATATTGATTATTTATAGTCATCACAGAGCAGACAAAGGGCCACTGTTCCAGATGTGGTCCTAGTTTTTATTTTTATTCCCACTCTTTTGTCTCCGACTCTCAGCTTTTATTTATTTTTTAGTTTAACCTCACAGTGGAGTTAGTGAATGTCAAAGAGGCAAGCTGCAGGTGCAAATGTTACTTTAAATAAGCCACCAGCTTCACTCACAGCAATTTTTAAGTGTGTTCATTAGGTCTGTCACAATAACAAATGGTGCTGGGCGATTAATTGTCTCAGAAATTATTGCGATAAACGATAATATTGTTAGAAATTTGACAATAATTAGCAATTATTGTCAAATTTAAGAAGAAATGTTGGTTAATTTGTTTTGAATGTAGTACCTTTTTTTGACCACTGGATGGCAGTATAAGACTGTTTGAACCGAAGGATGGATAGTTAGGGAAGAGCGGCGTGTCTCTTTAAGAAAAATGGGAGGGAGGCCTCTTGACTTGACATGAGCTGTCTCTCCTTCTTTTTTCGGCTCTCAAAATGGCGGACACTTGGTGTGGTTTGAGCTCTTTAGCATAGCATTTTTCACTCAAAGCTTTTACTAAAAAAATCAGTAAAAATTTCTCAGCATCTTTTTCGCAGAGAAAAACTCTTTACACGAAGGCACGGGTTTCAATTGTGAATTTTGGAGCTTCGACAAGACGGAGGTTTTTTTTTCCCCGAGGTCAGCCTGTTAGCTTAGCTCGTAGCTTAGCTGCTTTAACGATCCAAAAACTTGATTTTGGACGGTTAAAATGGATTTTAAAAAGAATGGGAGGGGTCAGTGAAGAGCACCGGAGTTGGGCTTTTTGTCATCCAGTGTCTTCAGTAGAAAGAGAAACACGAAGAAACGATAAAGTCGATAAATGAAAATGAGGTCGATAATTTTAATTTATCGTGTGATTAATTTACTTATTGTTTATCACGACAGGCCTAGTGTTCATGCTAACTTTCTTTGAATTCTTCAAATACAGATGTGTTTTGCTGATAATTTAAAATGAATATTTAATTTCTTTATGAACCACTTGTTTTTGTGTGTGTGTGTTTAGCTTTGACATCCTAAAAATATTTTACTAATGAACAAGCCTTTAGCTTGACTGGAATTATTATTATTTTATATTTTTTGTTTTATTAGCACTTCCATGATTGTATGCCAAACTGTTGGGGACAGGTTGGGGGGTGGAAGGGGGACTCATGGTGCTGGGACAGATGGCATTTAGCTCTAGCTGTGCCGAGCTCAGTGGGACCCAAAGCTTAAGAGGTTAGGCCTGTCAAAACCACTCTGTTCATTCACTGCCTAACAAAGTGTGGACTGTCAGCCTGTTCCGTTTAATAAACTTAAGTTTTTTCTTTTGTTAACGTCTGAGCAACACTTTGCAACTCGCTGACCTGAATATTCCAGCAGTCGTAAAGAATGCTCCTTTAGGCCAAAAACGAGCTGAAATGTCTTGATATGTTTGTTTTGGTTGGTTCAACTGGAGTGTCTTATTGGAGTTTTGTTAATTAAGTGCAAAGTTGGGTAAAAATAAATAAATCAGCCTCATATATACATGACTGTACAGATGTCTTTCGTTACAATATAAAACCACTCATAAGGATGTTTTATCTACACACCAGCTGGTTGTATAATTAGTATAATTTCATAGTCATAATTTAATACTTTTTTTTTTTGTTATTGTTGGTTTAGTTTGTACTTTTATTTTCTGTCTTTAACTGTTTAAATTTAAAAGTATAAAACTTCACCACTAGAGGGAGACATACAACAACCTGCAGAGTAACTTAAGCTCCTCATCTGAACTCTAAGGTGCCTGAAGCAGAATAAAGTGCTACATTTGTCAGGAATTTTAAATCCACGTGATTTTTTGGGGCAAATCCCTTTTATTTTTGTCACCTCCTTCTCCCAATCTCTCAATTTGTTCCAGTGTTTGTTGGGGGGGTGTCAAAGGCTGAAAGCTGGCGAGGCATGACCTGAGCGGGATGCCTGGGTGACCTCTGACCTCTGACTGGGTGTGCGGTTGACCCTGGAAGATGCGGCCCAACAATGTGAGGCACGTGCCTTGGCCTAATCACCATGGTAACACAAGACCTTTAGGGGATCAGCGGGGAAGGGGGGGTCAGAGCTGTCTTTATACTGATTGTTGTTAGACATCTGCTGTCAATTGACTCTTCTAGATACAACACACCCACCACAGAACAGCGTGTGTGTTAGACAAGACTCGGGTGAGAATCCTAAAGGCTAACTGGGTAATCTCTGCAGGCAACTGTGACGATGCTGTTTATTCTCACAATCACCTGGAGAGATTCTGCAGTTTGCCTTAAACTCTCATGTTTCATCTTTAGTTTGTATGTCAGACAATGAACACTTGGCCCCGCGTGTGTTCTTCATTTTTTTAAATTTATTTTTATTTTTTGTTTGCTGAAGACCATTAGATTCCTAAAGCTCGACTCGAAACCTGCCCACCTGTGCGTGAATCTCTGTTCACAGAAGGTTTTGCTCTCTAGCTTCAGTTAATCTCTTCATGCCTGACAAAACTCTGTGACTGGCCTAAAAAAATTTTTTTTTAATAGAAAGAGAATTTGAATTATAGTGCTGAATAAGGGCCAACAGGTGCAGTCCACCTGGAAGAACACTTAATGCTCGCCTTCTTTGAAGCCTGCACAGACTATCCTGGAAGTACTTTTATACACAGAATATTGCTTTACAGCTACAATGTTTATCACCTATTTTTTGTTTTTTACTTTGGTCTATCACCAGAGCATCTCCCCTCTGCCTCTCTGATTTTCCCGTCTCGTCTTGTTCTCCTCGTGTTCTGCTGTGTTTTGGTGAAATCTCAGCTGGCAACTGTGAGTCGTTCACTAGCTGCTCTCACAATGGCCTCTGGGATTATGCTAAACACTGCGCCCAGGCTGCTCTCCACATCGACCGGCGTCAACGCAGCCCTTTGGAGCGCACAGGAAGGAGATGGAGGTCTCTCAATGAAGATGTCACTGCAATTACACAAGCACGTCTCATAGACACCCTGTGTGTCTGCTCCTTCGGCTCTCACAAACCCCGTTCCCCACTTTTCTCCTCTCTTTTGAAGTCCAGCCTCATCTCGTAATGCGTGCCCATTTTGAATTTGCATGAAAACGCCATCCAGATGCTTCTGCTGCCATCTTGACTTATGATGATGTGTACTGTACAGTATTGGCTATTGTATTAGTGCAGCATCAAAAGCATACTGTCTTGTATGGACGAGTTTGAATTAGAAGGAGCAGAGAGAATAAAATGTGTTTCATTTAGACGTTGGAGTGAAAGAGCTCTCTGATGTGGATGGTACTGCATCAGGAACTGATTGGCTGATGTTTACCTGCCAACAGTACCTGATGCGTTGCCTTCAGCATCCAAAGAAACGTCACAAATACCAGCTCGAGCTATAATTACCTGACTCTTTATGTGTTTAATGTTCAACATATGTGTGAGTCTGTAAATGCTGGTCACCCCTGAATGTGCTTTAGTTTTGTATCCCTCTCTTGAGTTATACGAGATTCTATTTTATGTTTTTCTTGAACGATTACTTTTTTGTGCATATAATCTAATGCAGGGGTTCCCAACCCTGGTCCTTGAGGAACACCATCATGCATGTTTTAGTTGTTTCTCTGCTCCGACACACCTGATTTTAATAAATGGATGATTTACAGGCTTCTGCAGAACATGAGGAAGTAATTAAATCACTGTATCAGATGTGTTGGAGCAGGGAAACAACTAAAACATTCATAAAGGTGTACCTCAAGGACCAGGGTTGGGAACCACTAAATTTTAACACATGTTTAATTGCTTCTTTTATAACATCAATTGTGGAAAAGGTATTTCATACTTCAAACTTGATTATTTATCTGTCTCACCAGAACCAAAGGAAAAGTTCCCTCATCCTCTTATCAGTGTTTAATCTGTTGTTGCAGCACAGCTTTGATTCATTTTGAACTTCATCTCAGTGAATATTGCATGTTTTTAACAGCTTAAAGAAAATAAACTTTGACTGAAAAGTTAAAGGTTGTGTATTTTTTTTGTGTCGTGTGTTAAATTGAACTGGAAGGATTTTGATTCGTAGTGTTTTGTGGATCTGTGTGTAGAGCACATCCACTGGGAAAGTAAAACACTTGGTTCTTAAATTTAAATGTCCATTGTTTTTTTTCTTGTAAAAGTTTTAAGTTAAACCTCCCTCCTTGCAGAATCTACCTGCCTGTGTTCACACCCTCTGAGGAGTCAGAAGGTCACCATGAAGAGAACTTGTGCCAAATCTTGTTTTTCCCCTCTCTTCCCAATCTTTCAGCAAGCTGCTGGCGCGCACAAACACAATAACTTACTGTGTCTTCACCCCTGAGATATCCCAGCAGCCGTGCCAGATGCAGCAGATGTTCCTTAAGCGAAGGCAAAGTGTAAACAGCATGAAACGGTTTAAAGCCTAATGTAGAGGCCACTGACAGAGCTCTTCAACGCAGGGTTTGATCAGAACACCTGCTGCACATGCACACAGTGAGTTTGGGTACAAGTGCCAAATAAACCGTGCCCAATAAAAACATGTGCCAGCTTAATATTTAGTCTTCTTTTAATCTGGGCGCTTCCATGAGGAGTTCTGTAATTTTCTGGCAACCCCTCTCTGTTCATCAGTCCATAGAGGGAGCCATGGTTTACTGTACCCCGCCCGGTGAGAGACAACCTGCCCGGCATCCCCTCCCCTCCCCTACTGTACTCACCGCATGTTCACCACCAGCTTGTCCTCAGTCCAAAACCTAACATCCTCTGCGCAGTTGGAGAGGTAAAAGCTCGCATCGCGCACGTCAAGAAACCAGAGCCGTTTCCTTCAGCGCGTCAGGAGAGGTGGAATAACCACAGGTAGCTGCAAGGTACGTTTTCAAACCTGGAACTAGAGAGCAGACTCACCGTTTCGCTCTTTCTCACCATTACAACCCATCCCGATACCTGCTGGTCCGGGGAATATTGAATTAAATGGAAAAATCATCTTTGTTTTTTTTTTTTTAACCTAATTTGCTTGTTTTTGTGACATGCTCTTTAACAAGTGTCACGAAGACGCTATAAAAGACAAGAAATTTGGATCAGACGCATGTAATTTTAACTTCTCTACGCGTCCCTGGCTTTGGCACACGGGAACACGTTTACGCGCGGTCTTTACGCGCTTTACGCACAGATCCGTTTGGAGAAAAAAAAAAAAACCCCAAAAAAACAACAGGAGTAAAAAAAAAAACCCCACTTCTCTGGGTTGGAGCCGCACACTGAGCTGGAGAGCTGCCAACATAAACATCAGAGCAGCAGCGGGAGGTGTTGGGGCTCGTTAGGCAGTGCCATCAGTGATGTAATAACCAGTATTAAAACGTGTAGGCTTGTCAAGCAGAAAATGATCGTGCACGCTCCCTCTGCGTCTTGTTCCAGAGCTGCTCCCGAGGTTTTGGTCAACATGCTGGGCTTCTGCGTGTGTCTCTGTGCGGTTTTCACTCAGGTCCTCTCCCAGGAGCCCGAGGAGCCCGTCACCTACTCAGTGAGTACAACCTGACTCTCTGGAACACAAACTGCGCAATTTTGTCTTCACTGATAACAAAAAAAAAAAAAAAAAAAAAAAAAACGGAACTTATGTCCTATTTTATGCTGTATTTCTTTGGAACAGTGCACAGAGGGGTACACCTATGACAAAGTCAAAGAGCAGTGCAGAGGTGAGAAATCTTTGTTGCCTCGTTTGCTCAATTTGATGAGTCATGCTTATTTTTTCCCTTTTATTTCTTTTAAACTATAAATTAAGCTGAACAGGGGTTACAATTATTTGACTAAAGTGTATACAGCAGCACAAATGCCATAAATAAACTAGAATTAAAATAACACAAGTCCATGTGTTTACTCGTTCAAATGTTAATTTTTTTAAAACAATTTCCTCTGTAGGTATTTAGAGCTCACTTTTATCATTTTATTCTGATTCATTAACAGATTTTTTTACATTACAAATGAGCCATAATTCATTTTTCCCACTCTGGCGAGGTTCATTAAAATCACACAACCAGCAAATACAAATAAAGACTGACAGAAGAAAGATTTTAACACTAGCTGTCACATTTTCTGTGTAATTCCATTTTGTCTTTCCGTCCTTGGTTTTGGGTCAGACATTGACGAATGTGAGCTGTTAGATGATGCCTGCAAAGGAGGGATGAAATGCATCAACAACTTCGGGGGATACCTCTGCCTCCCCAAGAACGCCATCATCTACGTCACCGTGGACAGGCCTGAGGAGGGGACGCAGCCTGACCACGCACCTCAAGTCCCCGTCGTCCAACCAAGCCAGCCCCAGGTCTCAAGGGTCCCTCAGCCCACCATTCGCTGTTCACCAGGTTTTACTGCTGATGAGCAGAATTACTGCAGAGGTACGCTCAGCTATAGGATCATCATATGGTTAATAACAACTTAAATCGTCTTCATCAAAATGATCATTTTGGATACCCAGACTTTCCTTTGTCTTATCCACAATCAGCATGTCAGATATTTCCACTGTCGTCATTCAAAACTTCAAACTGTTCACAAGTCGTTCGGCTCCAAATAGTGTGTTCCTTAAGCATTACGGGCCTCTGAAGAAGAAACATGCACTTCATTTACCTATAGTCTTGTTTTCACTAGTTTTATTTTATATATTCACATTCAAAAACTTTTCAATCCCTAATATAACTTTGAATATTAAAAAAAAGTAAAAACAATATTATTAGAAACATCCAGTACTCACTTTATGACTTCTTAATAAAAATAACAAGCAACAATGTGTTGAAAAATATTTACAAAAATGTAATTTTTACCAAGAGGGATGCTGTTACTATTATCCAGTACCTGATGTTTCATAAAGTAATTAGTTCCGAGTGTGGTTTTATTATATGTCACAAAGGCTTTCCATACTATTCCATTCTAATGAAAATTAAAGTAGCAAAACCTTAAAAAAAATGACTCTCCCCTTGCCCCTGCAGCTTTACATTATAAAAACATGCAGCTATGGCGGGAAGTGGCATTGACAAACTCCTTCATATATTACTTAAAACGGCTTGAGGTGCCAGATTTTCTTCATGAACGGCAATTTAATTTGATTTCACACACACAAAACATGAACTGCTGACCTTCGTGAGTTAGAATGAACTCTAAAACATGGTTTTAGTTTGACTACAATGACTGCTGTGTGCTGCAGGATAATGGCCAAAATGTTGGCAGGGGGGTATTTTATTCATTTTTTTTTTCAATATAATGCTTTGTTGCAGTTGCTCAGAGTCTGTGCTGCTGCCTAGGATAAAATGTCTTTTAAGGAGCTGCGTAGGTATTTGATAATTACTTGCTAACGACTGTAGAGCCTCAGTAAGTGGAGCTCCAAATGTGAAGCGTTCATCCATCTGTTTGACAGCAGCTAAACTAAGCGTAGCTGCCAGATGTGTTGCAAGCTTCCCGGTCCTTCTTGCTGTGATGTCATGTTTTCTAAACTCTTTGCTTGCTCGCAGCATGATGTTTTTGGCCAGAGTTCAGCTTCTGTCTGAAATTCTCCTTCTTGTGGGTGTTGTAGTGTTCTGCTTCATGGGGGTGGAAACTCGAGCAGATGATTTTATAATATTTTGGCATGCTCTGTGCGTATATGCAGCTTTTACATGTACACTAAATGCTCCCTGGGCCTCGATGTGGCTGTGGTGTTGGTAGATGCACGGACTGAGTGGGTGTGAGCTCGTGTTTGAGCAAGATGCTTTGATCGTCTAAATCAGGGAGTGGTTGAACGATTCATTCCTTGTCTCGCTGCAACACACTCGCACTGCTTTGTTTAGTAGCATCAGAGAGCTTTACAGTCGTCCATCCTGGTTTGAGCGAGATCTGTGGCGTAGCTCTATAAATCTAACGTAAGGCAAAGTCCATTTGAATCCACATGCTCCGTTCGCATCTCCCCTTGCCAAAAGGCAGAGGCGTGCGCTAAAGTGGCCGTGTGGAGAGGCTGGTGGTCAAAGAGCTACAGTGAACGAAACAAAGTTGATTTTACACCTGGGGCTCAGATACGTGTGAGCTGCTTTATGTGTTTCTCTGTATTGGAACCCAATTAGGTTTTATTGGAGTGTAAAACATGGCAGCAAATCAGTTAAAGTTAGCACATGAGCAAGCTGGCGCTGGTGCGGCACTGGTGTGCCGTTTCAGGGGGGCTAAACAAAGATAGACTGTTGCTGTCAGCGTTATTGCTTTGGAGGACTGCAGCTTTAACTGAATGGCGTCTCGTCTTGTTATGTGGGCTTATGTTTGCGCTGGGGACAGATATAATCTTTGTTTACACCAGTCTCCGGTTTCTCTGTCATTACCTTCAGCTCACTACAACGAGCCAATTGTTCTTGGACGCGGGGTTAGCGTCTCTTTGTTTTTCGTGCCACGCTGCTTGTTCTGCGCGGCTACGTACCTCGCTAGTGAAGGAATTCCCACTAACGTTCAATAGGGGGAAACCTCAACGTATCAAATAATGCTTACATCAGGCCCTGCGAACTCACCACTCTGTGGAGGAAGCCTGGAGTGCAGAGTCAGGTAGGGCTAAAGGGGAGGATGAAAGACCGGATAAGCACAGAAAGTGCTTTGGCACTGACCGAGCTATACATTTCACCAGGCTTGTAGTAGTTGTTCTGGTTGGCAAGTTTCTACAAAGTTGCGGAAAAAAAAAAAAAAAAAAAAACTGGAGCCAATTTTCCACAGAGCAAAAACATAAAATAAAATAAAAAAGCCAAGGACTTTCCTTTTTGCTGATTAGAATCAAAACAAACCTCAAAACACAGAACTCACTTCAACTTGATGTTCTTTTGATTGCGGCTCGCCGTCCCGTGGAGCTGTAATGAAGCCTCTGTGGCCTTGAGCGTGAGCAGGAGTGTGTGTGTGTTGTTGAAGTTACACACCGTCCTCAACAAAACTATGAACTATACTGTATGTGTGACGGCTTAGTGATGACCTCCAGCCTCCCCTCATCCAAACACATGCAGCCCTTGGCGCCTGGAGGTGCTTACAAGAGGTTTGTTGTGCGGAGGTGACATCACATCCTCCCAGAAACGAAGGCTGTCCATCACAAGTTGCGCGGCGGTCGTCAGCTCTCTAAAAAAGTGAAAAGCACTTATTTTAAGCTCCCATTTACAGCTTTACCCATTTAAACCTTCTGAATCAGCTTTATTGCCATGAACGTTGCACTCATATGCAGTTGGTTTTGTTTTTCTCCTCACGAGTCTTGACTTTACATACCTTCGTTGCTGCCTATTTGTTTTTTCATCTAAATTAGATAGTCACGCGCTGCATGGACATGAAGGGACATGCCACTCCTGTTTACCTGTCTGGTTTCTTGAGGTCATGCAGGCTACGTTGCCACCTACACGCCTGACTATAGCTTCAACGACGACGTCTGGATGCTCCTCACCTGCAGTCGATGGAAAGCGGCTCTCCTGAATGTGCTCTCTCGAGGCCGTTGATCCCCACGCGACAGAGAACTTGTGTACTTTTCCGAACAAGGCAGGGCCCGCGCAGTAACATTTTTCCACACAGATGCAATGCACTTGGGAGGAATATCTCTGGAATGTCAGCGATGGGTGTTTTTTTTTATTTATTTTTTATTCATCCTCGTTTGCTCCCATCTTTTGTGATGACAGGAGTTACTCACCACCTTTGCAGACGAGCAGTGGATCAATCGGCGAGGAGCAGGAATGCAGAGAGTGATTGGAAAGCCCAACGTGAAACTGTCAGCCTGCTCCATGATTTGACCTTTACAGCTAATTCTTAACAGTCCCACTTGCTGCTGTCTCATCCTAACATGTGGGCCGTTTGTGAGGGTTTTCTGATTTACAAACTATACAAAAGACATGAGCATAAACAAAACCTGATTACAGTTTTTCAGGAAATTCATTCTAGATTTATCTGACCGGTATTGCTTTTCTCAAACTTCCATTAAATAAGCAACAAGGGTTTTAAAAATGTTTTTCATATAGGAGCGTTGTCAAGGTTGTAGGGATAACAATGGAGGGGTCACTGGATGTTGAAATGAACATGTGCAACAGTTTTGTTGCTCAGCAGGAGGACTTTCGGGAAAAAAAGGAATTAGTTTAGTGAAAACTTACTCCCTTTTGGGGTGACATAAAGCAACTCATTGCAGATTATGAAATTAAACATAAAAAAAATTATCCTGAAATATATCACATTGTACGGTTTGGTAGAGTTTACTCAGGTAGTTTTCCAGAAATTATGTGCACTCGGCATAAACAAAGCACTTGAATGAATCTGCTAAAAAAACACATGGAAGATGGAATCGTGCGACCGACCTACATTAGTCTGACTGTAGTCTGGGCATGTAGACAAATATAATGGAAATGTACAAGTGTTGAATCTCACAGATATAAATAAAAAATGGTGAATTGGCTGTTGAACATGAAAGAAAAGAGAACGACCAAGACAGCTGTCAAGAGTAAATACCTGGGATTAAGCACGGTGGTGGAGCAGCCTTTTGTGAAACTTCTAGTCAACTAAGTTTATCTTTTCAACCTACTGTATTTTTCAGCCTATAAGTTGCATTTTTTTGTGCATAATTTGCATTCCCTGCGACTTATACGCAGAAGCGACGTATTTATGGATTTTTCCCCCCATATTTATAAACCAATTTTTGGCTGAGACATGACCGTTTTTATTCATTCTGACTGAAAATATTGAATACTACCATGTTCAGCCGCTAGATGGCAGTCGAGTAGTATGGCATGCTGTTGTGTCATGCAATAGGTAAAAGTGGCTATTAATGACACAATCGGCTTGCCAAAGTTTGCCACCTTCGTCCAGCTCGCCTGGAACAATCGTCAAATCAGCTTCGTTTATCTGCGTCGCCCCAACAAAATGCAGCTGATTTGACCATTGAAGTGCATTTATTAAGTAAAAGTTCAACTGAGACACACCTTTACTATAATGTCGCGCAAACAAATAATTGTTTTTAGGTGGTTATCTTGTTAAATTTCGAAGAACTGCGCAGCGTTCCTCCTTTCTGATTTCTTCCCTCTGCGCACTCCCGGAGCACCAAGGCAGCGAATACTTTTGAAAATGCAGCTGATTTGATCGTCAAAGTCCTTTATTAAGTAAAAGTTAGACTGAGACACACCTTTGCTATAATTTCGAGCAAACAAATAATTGTTTTTAAGTGTTAATCTTGTTAAATTCTTGTTGAAGTCCTCCTGTGCACGCTCCCGCAGCCGCCATTAGGCAGCCAAACGATTTTTGGCACAACACCTGCGCACACTTCCGGGTTGTCAGCGGTGACGTGTAACAAACGTGAAGCATCAGCGGTGACGCAAAATAGATGCGATGTATTTATGGATTTTTCCACTTTATTAGACGTATTTGGACAGATGCAACT